TGTATTTTCAAAGTAAATTAATGGGAATATTTATATAGTATATGGCATATGGCATATAGCATCTCAAAGAAAATTTTTTGTTCTTCAAAATGGCAGCAGTTGTATGTGATTTAGTTACGTTTTGTAGAGTTAAAAGTTCTATTTTTTCCAGTTGTGATAGCATCTCGTCCTTTTTTTCCCCCGGAAACTGCAAATGCTCTTTGTTTGCTCTAAATTTTTAAGAATTGACTTGTATCATGTCAAAGCCCGGTTCCATCGAATTAATTCATTCCTTCAAATTAGTGAATTAATTTAGGGCCGTGGAAAAATTCAGTGCAGGCGTTTTCAACATTGATGGCCAATTTTCGTTCATTACTAATGCTCGTAGCACTCGATCGAATTTATGGAAATAATATCTTGCGGACATTCTCAAGATCTCAACAAACTCTTCATAACGTCGGTTGAATTTTTTCTTTAGTATCCCCCAAAATCCTCATCTCTTCATTTTCTTCATTTTCCTTTACAAACTTATCAAATATATGATCCAAAATTCGAAAGAGGAAATAAGAATTCTGCAAAAAATGTCTAATATTAAATTTTCATTACGACAATTAAACTGATTACATTCAATTACATACAATGTACCTAGCGCAACCGATTAATTCTTCAGAAAAAAAAATCTATTGACACTTTACAGTAGAATAGTTCATGGCTAGTTTGGGAATCAACCGGTTTCTTCTCATTAATTGTTGTTATATTCAATTACAAAATATTATTGTGTTTTTTAAATTCACTAGGTCTCCGAGATGGTAAATGCTCACTCTAAATTATTGCTTATTAATTATTATCCTGATAAATCTTTAGAAAGCTATTAAGCACAAGATAAGTTCGAGGGATATTTCCATAATAATCTACAGAAAACGTTTGAGATTATTTTGCACCATAAATTATTGGTAGTTACGTTCCTTCGATTTCACTTCACGTTTTATTATTTTTGGAAGAGCTCGGATGGAATTGTACGCTCAATTATCAGCAGTAATTAGCGTTATTGGTTGTGCCAAGATATTAGCCATTGTGCCATTGTTTTCTCCAGTGCATCTCAATTATTGGAACTGCATGCAATTGATTTCGCTGAAATTTATATCAGAACTTTTGACCCACTTCTGGTTTGTCTATATATCGACCACGGGAAAATGCATGTGCCTTTCTAGTGCAGCCATTCAAAGTCATAAGCTGCTAGATAAATTCTTCAAACTTATCGATATTGGAATTTAAACGTCAAATTATTTGACAATAATTCAAGTTATTTAGAGGAAATAATCTTAAGTCTCAAATGACGCTCAGGTAAATCTTCGTAAAATAGATAATTATTGACAGATTATTTGCAAAATGTCATTATAAAACAATATAAAAATTCTTCAAAACTAAAGATTTTACTGAATTTTACGAGAAGACTTTTCCGATGGCATAAAGTCATTTCAGAGCCCGCGTAACTTCTTTTGATTATGATTCAATTCCGGAGATAATCGGATCGTTTTCATCTTCATCAACGATTTTTCATAAGTAAATGATCGTGTTTTTTTCGGTTTTTGCGATAATTCTTGTTTTTTTTTATATTTAAGTAATATCCTATACATTGGTTTCAAAGCTCATTAAATAAGAAATAATGAATATATAATATAATAAGTGAATGATGTGATTTTTAGCATGTTTCACCTAAATCTCCAATGTGGTTTAATTTTTTTATATTCCCAAAGCAAATGATTAAGGATAATTATGCACAATTGTAAAGGAAATTTTATGAGCTTTCAAATGCCATTGTTTATATCTTATTTAGATACGTTTTTGTTGAGTTATTGCAGCTTTTTCTATTTTTCATCGTTATGTCACCCTCAAAAATTAATATTTATTGCTAATTATCGTAGCATTTGATCTAAATTATTGGGAATATATGAATTTTTTAGGGA